CCAGGCAGTGAAAGAAAAATACCACATGATCTCACTCATTTATGGATAATAAAGAACATTATAACCTGATGAACCAAAAGATAGATACAGAGGCAGGGAAGCATCAAATAGACTGTCAAATTATAGCAGGAAGGCTGGGGAGTGATGGGGGGGGCGGGTGGGGTAAGAGATCAACCGAAGGACTTAATGCATGCATATAAGCATAACCAATGGACCCAAGACACTGGGGGTGGGGTAAGGGCATGTACCAGGGGTTAGGAGAGGCCAGGGGAAGGTCAATGGGGGAAAAAGGAGACATATGTACTACTACTTGTAATACTTTAAACAATAAAAAATTTAAAAAATAATAATTTCCAGTTAATATTATTTTTCCTGTAAAAACAGATGTCAGTTATTTATATGTAAATTTACATATTTAGTGGTGTGTAGTCCTCACAGTAGTTATAAACTATCTACAACTTTATTGTTCTCGAGTTGCTGAATTTGATTTATATATCAGAGTTCATCATTGAATAGTCTTCTCAGAAAATAACACAGTGATTTATTTATTGTTAATTTACATCTGAGGATGACTCTCTGCCACCCATGTACATCAATATCCACTTGGCTGAGAATAGATATCTTTGGTCTCAACTCATCCCCATTCAACACTTTGTCGCCTTGGTTCTGTCCGCTGTATCCTGCCATTTCCTGGTCAGCAAATCCTGGTGAGCCTGACTTATCCTCCTTTCTGTGGATTGGGACTAGGGTAACTGTATAAAACAGAAGATCCAAATAGCAGTGGCCTGAGTCAAAGGTTTTCCTTCCTGTCATATAAAAGATTTAACCTATGCAGGCTATAATAGAGGATCCATGTCATTAAAGAGATTACAATGTGGCTTCCATTTCAAAGTCCCTTCATGTCTAAGATGGATTGATGGCACCACTCCATGTCCTAATGGGAAGTAAAGGAAGGCAGGTGAAGGGTAAAGGAGTGAGCATACCAATTTAGTTGGCACCTTTAAAGAATTTCCCCATGAGCCCTGATTCAGCAGCTTGCAAGCAGAAGCCTCACTAATTACCTTTCGCTATACAGGAGGCTAGAAAATGGAGCCTTGTAGCTGGGCATATGGCCACCAGGAACAAAATAAGGTCATTGTTAAAAATGAAGAAGGGGAGAATCAATATTGGGTGGGAAGATAACTATCTCTGTCACAATAGATAACATCTATTTTCTTCCTAATGCTTACAGAATTTGTTTTTGACATTCATAAAAATTTCTGGGTCATATCCAAGAGGATCTTTTTTCATTAATTTCACCTTGAATTCTTTTGATTTGCAGATCAAGGTCTCCCCCCCCCCCCCCCACTCTAGCCTCATAGAAAACAAACAAATTTATTTTCTCACAGTTCTGAAGGCTAGAAGTACAAGGCCAAGACACTGGCAGGGTTGGTTTGTTCTGAGGCCTCTCTCATTGGCTTGGCCATCTTATCACTCTGTCTTCACATGGTCTTCCTTCTGTGCAACACTGTGTCCAAATTTCCTCCTCTTGTATGGACATAGGTCATATTCAATTAGAGTCCACCGCAATGACCTCATTTTAACTTGTTTACCTCTTGAAAGACCCTCTCTCCAAAATTAACACAGTCAGTGGTATTGGGAGTTAGGACTTCAATATATGTATTTTAGGGGGATGCAATTCAGCCAATAACACCATATTCTGTAGAATACTTAAAATCAATGAATTGATCATTATTCTTTATCTTTCATACCTATTATCTTTCTTCTGTCATCTTGCCCCTCCATATCACTGATCCAATTCTTCACTCTCATGCTTGAAACAAAGACTATATTTCCCCACTTTATTTTGGTTTTTCTTACATTTTGTTCATGTGTTAGTTATTTCTTTTTGTATCCTTCCCATTTCCATTTTTATCATTCTCTGTTAATGTTTCATAAAAGCTATATGCTTGCTGCACACAACCACAAAATTTCAGTAGCATTCATAAGAAGCACATATTTTGATGGTGGGCAGTCAGCTGATCTTGGATCAGTTCCACATGTCTCTCATCCTCCTCGTTGGATCAACGCCATCATAGCAATGGCAGAAGCACGAGAGGGCATATGCTCACCATTTCAGGTCCTTCCTGAAACATGCTAACCGATTAGCAAAAGCAAGAGCCCAAAAGTCAAAGGCAGGAAATACATTTTTCCCACTAAAGTGAAGGGGAAAGAGTGATAATTTTGAAAAATAGTCTAATCTACTACATCATTTTCCATCTTTTGAGAAACCTTGAGCTTCAATCTCCTAAAGTTTTCCTGTTTTGCGTTATAAAATATTTTTTCAAATAAATGCTCTTTTCTAAGACCTCAAAGTAATGCTCATTTTCCCTTAAACTACAGAATATTTTCACAGAACCCAGAGTATTTCTTCAATCCTTGCATGGGAAGAAATCTATTCAGACCTGCTAGTCACCAGCAGACACGTGCAAGGAAGTTCTTAGCTCTGCCCCACCTACCACTACTCTCTGCTAAGGTCCTGACATCTGTGTATCTTGCAAAAGGTTTTCTAGTGCCATATGCAGAAAAGGGACAGAAACTCCTCTTTCTCTGGCAATGTCTCCAACTAAACTGAAGCATCACACACAAAGTCAGCAGGTTTTGCTTGAACAGAACAGGACTGGAAAGATTTCCTTGCTGGCATGCACTGCATCCAGTGCTCCTCTTGTCTACAGCTAGTGAACAGCATGGATAGTGCTAAACTGCCCTCTGAAAAGGCCTATGGCTATTTCAAAGAAATCTCGGAATGCCATGACATGCACAGCTCTCTGCTACCTGTTGACTGTGCCAATGTTCTGCTGCCTTAACTGACTTACGATCTGGTCTATTCCGTTCCAGGTCTACACTAACCTACTCAATGTCTTGAGTCCACCCTAGCCCTTCAATATAGGACTCTCCTGAAAGCTTCCAGAAAGAGGACTGCAACCCTAAGTAACAAAGAATCTAACAACTTCAGTGCATACAGCCATATTTCTTAATTAGGTTGACATCACTATCCAATTTAAGGATTTTTTCTCTTTCTTCAGAGATAAACCAGAGTAACTCTGATGGCCCAGCATATTAAAGTCCCAACCGTAAATGTTTCTTATTATCTTTACATAAGAGGACCACAATATTTCTTATAGATCTGTACGTAAGAGGACCATAATAAATGTGCAATGAAGAAATGAACAAACTTTGAATGTCAGCCTTTCAGAATATAGAGCATCGAAAACAGTATATTAAAAAGAAAAGTAAAAAAAAAACTACAATATTCTGAGAAACAAATAATATTCCACATGGCCACAGTACACTGTGCCAAAGAGCCTCTGTAACCCACCTCATTCTCCCTTTTTCCTTGTTACGCTGCACAATTCGGCTGGTGGATTTGATGTACAGGTGCCGGTGCAGTTCATCTATGAGAACCAAGTGAAGATTCATCTTCTTGCTGTGAAGCTCCAGCCTAAGGTCACTCAGTCCTTCTACTTGGAGCAGGGGGCCCTCCAAAGACTGGACTGCTGACACCTAAGAAGGGGATGGAAGACAATAATGTATAATAACTAAGTAATCTAGAAATATTCTAAATAGGAAGAACTATTTTTTAAAAAACACTGTTAAAAGAGAATCTATGAAAACCTTACAAACGTACACTAGACTTTGTAGAGTACAGTAGTCCCCCTTATCGGTGGTTTCACACTCAGCAGTTTCAGTTACCTGTGGTCAACCAAGGTCCAAAAATATGAAATGGGGGAAAAATCCAGAAATAACTCTAAAGTTCTAAATTTTAGAGCATGCCTTTCTGAGCAGTGTGATGAAATCACACACCATCCAGATCTACCCCGCCCAGAACGTGAATCATCCCTTTGTCCAGCATATACTTACTACATACATACACTATGTCCCCATTAGTCACTGAGTAGCCATTTCAGTTATCAGATCACTGTCATAGTATCACAGTGCTTGTGATAAGTAATCCTTATTTTGCATAATAATGGCCCCAAACTGCAAGAGTAGTGATGCTGGCAATGAAATATACCAAAGAAAGCCGTACAGTGCTTCCTTTAAGTGAAAAGTTCCCAACTTAATAAGAAAAAAAACTGCATGGTGAGATTGCTAAAATCTATGGTAAGAACCAATCTTCTTTCTGTGAAAGTGCCTAATTTATAAATTAACTTTTATAACAGGTATGCTTCTAAAGGCAGAAACATAGTACATATAGGATTCAGGTACCCACTGGGGATTTTGGAACACATGCCCTGCGAATATGGGGTGACTACTGCACAATGTGGCTAGGCCTCGCTCTGCCTTTGAAGGATTTAGCATCTGAGACATAGAATGCTGAAGAAAACAAGCTTGATGAAGATAAGCATGAAGGCATCTAACGTACCGGCAAAGCCATACATACAATTAATTCCCACATACACTGCCTATCAATGGACACAAGTACAATGAACTCCCCAATTAAAGTGATTATATCACGCATATTCTCACAAGAATTCCACGTACTAATGGTTTAAATCAACTTCCAAAGCTAGCCTTTTAAGTCTAAATAGAAGCACATTATAAATATTTTAATAATTCTTATGATGATCATGAACCAGAGCTTCATTAGCCTGAGTCTACATGTGAGTTTACATAAAGTCAGTCTCTCTTTCTCATATACACAAACACACAGAGGTCAATGCAATTTTACATGAATGTTACATGAGGACAATAGCAGTCATCACTCCTTGGCTTAACCCAGTTTGATAGAAGAATGAGGATTTGAACAGTGAACAGAAGATAAACTATGGAGAGGGAGATACTCCTGGTATAAAGTGCAATTTGGGAGATTTTAAAACAAAATAGATTGGATGAATAAAAATGGTGGAGGAATGCCTACAACAAAGGGAGAAAATAGGGAGGGACTCAGGGAACCTGGAGCAATTCATTTGGAAACCAAAGTGTGTATGTTTGGAAACCAAAATGCATATGTTTCAAAAGAAAAAAATAGCATGTATGATCTGATCCCATTTATCCATGTATATGAAATTATATTTATGTCCTTATGTATAAAGATCTTATATATTTTTAATGAAAAAAACTTAAAGTGAAGAGAATATTGAGGAGAATATTCACCTTTGGAGAACAAAGGTGGAAGGAAAAAAGCACAAAGAATGCAAATGTAATAAAAACAACAACAACAGAGAAGAGATGACCACAAGCTGAACTCAGAGGGCAAACAGCACACCAAGCTCCCTGAAGGGATTAGCATGTGATGACTATTACCTGCTTAGGTCATACTTCTAAATATCCCTAAGATGTACAAATAAAGGCAATAACTAATAATGCTTACTTCAGGGTAAAAACATTAAATGTATTTATGCAAATAAACATGCTCCTAAAAAATGAAGCATTTAGACAAAAGCAATAAGTCGTGAAGGCCATGAAACATACCAGTGGTTAAGTGTTCATCAGATATCTATACCAATATACACAGTCATGGAGGAGTTGTGGACGGTGAATATGGACAGCTTGGGAGCTACCAAATGCAAAGTGGCCTGAGATGGGGAGGAAAATGCAAAGGCTCACCCACAAACATATCACTTGTTTTGTGATATGCTATAATCAAATGTCAGCAGCAAATAGGTTTCCTTACATTTACCAAGAAAGAATGAGGAAATGAAAGAGTGACAAGCCCTGGGCCAGCTCTGCCCTCCGAAGCCCGCCTGTTCATTTTCATGCTGACTTGCAACTGCCCTGCTATGAGAGCCCTGGGCCTGTGCAAGCTGCAGCACTTCCAAATGGAAAGGCAGCCTCACAAAATGACCAGCGTGTCCCCAGGGAGGAAAAACAACAACAAATTCATTCACACGGATGCTCTAAAATGGATTTTAACTTGAGTCTCTAGCAGAGAAAAGAGGACACAGTAACCTTTAGTGACATCGAAATCCAGAAAATGAAAAATAATTTGGTAAACCACTGGTCCATCATGTAGCCTTATCCCTTAAGGTAATTAAATCCAACTGAGATATTTAAGCTTAAAAATCACCCACTGCACATCCAAGCTTGATTTGTTTGTAGGAATTTGCATGAAGATTTTTAACCCAAATACATCAAATTCCAAATACAAAATTATATGATGTCAACTTTCAAAGCCACTTAATTAAAATATTTTTAACGTATAGGTAAAACAGCACAGTGCCTGGCATCTATTCATTCTGTGGGCAAAGAAACCTCAGAGGGTGTTTTCAACATGCTTTGATGCAGCATTTTCAGTAAAGTGTTGTTTCCTTCATAGAACCATTGTAACCATATAGATTACAAAGTTTCTGAATATGTTTCATTGACCCAAAATACAGGAATATAAGTACAATTAACACACACACACACATACACACACACTATCAAGAGCTATCTTAAAAGATTTGAAAACCTTACCACAACGAGAATAGAGAATAGTCTCTTGTTTCTATATGAAAATACAGTGTTTTATTTTCTGTCCACTTATTTAGAGTCTGTTTATAAAACTATAATCATGGAAGCTAGGCAAGGTCACTGTCTTCCTCCTACTCTACCCTTCCTAATGGGTACTCAAACCAACTTGAAGAAAATAATTGTCAATGCAACATTTGATCCCTAGAACATCAGTTTACTAGTAGAAACCTGACATTTATCTTATCTTGCTTTAAGTAGCCTGTACCAGAAAGTTTACACATAAAGAAAAACGTGGTGAGGCAGCAGTCAAACCCACAACCATCACTGATGGTTAAGTCTGTTGTCCTGTGGGTCTGGCTTCCAAGTAGTTATTGACAGTAAGGCTTCCCTACAGGAGAAATCCCCTACATTTAGAACTGAGCATAACTCCTAATAAAAATACAACTAAAGAGACATTTAATGTATGAGAAATGGTTATTTCATAAATTATTTCACCGTTTTCCAAATGTAATGACTACAGAACACTTCAAAATAATACACTGATGAAACATTAACAGGAATTCAAGAGATGCAGATGGATCAAAGCAGCAGCAAAATGGCCTCACAGGTTAGTGGCTATAAGAAGTTATCAAAATTGGGTTCACAGATGTGACTTTGTGACACTAAATAATGTCACAAATATATATTAAAATTGTAAATGAAAGGTGAAGTAGACAACAAACAGTGGAATAGTTCATAGGTGAATGTTGCCTATACATCTACTCACAAGACAATTATCATTCATTCATACCCCAAATGACATCTTAAAATTCTAAGGTATGCCACACCATTTCGTATAGATTATTTACAACAAGTAGATAATGAGCCAACTAATTGTATCTAGAATTTCTCTTACATATATTTTAAAAAATTATTTGGGGGCAGGGAGGAGATACTACTTAGAAGGGAATTTTTTTTTTCACAGAATACCAATTATTATCTAACAGAAAATTGGTATTCTACTCAACTACTCATATAAATAACAGAAATCTGTTTTGAAGTTGAAAACAAGTATTTCCTTTAGGATTAGGAAAATAAACAAACATTTACAAAACGTTTTAACACATGAGATTGAACAGGACAGCATGTTTTGTTATTAGAAACCTACCCATTAAGAAAACAGAAATTCTGAAAAATGTTTCTATAACTCAAAAAATAAGTGAAATGCAGTTAAAATATACATAATCGAGAACTTTCAAAAACTTTTACCTTGAGATAACAGATAAGTCTACAACAAAAGAAATCTTGGTAATTATGAACTATAGTACCTGTAATTTTTCTTTCCCGGTGTGTTTCTCAATCTCATTTTAGTTTAAATGAGGAAATCATTATTTCACAGTTAAATTTGTCTCCTGCCCACCTTATTCAGGCCGATTAGGTGGAAAGATCTAGTTTTGTGCCTTAAACATAAACCAATAGAAAAGTTTCGGAGAAACACCAAAACTGGCCATACTCAACAGCTGCTTCCCTGAAGAAAATGCTAGACAGGAAACTACTGGTCTTTTTTATTTATTGTTTTAGTTGGGAGAGGTGAGCTCTACAAAGGTAAGTGACATTAGTAACTGTTTCTAAATAGAACTAAGGTTCCAGCCGGAAAAAAAGAAAGGAAACTTGTAAGTATAAACAAAAAACCAACCTGCTAACGAAACCATCTGCTAGCTAATGAAAATGCTTATTTTGGCAACAATATTCCCTAAGAAAGCAAATGTTTGCAACTGTTGAGTCCAAAACAAATATTTCCTTCAGGACTCTGATAATTAGTTTGTCTCTCTTAAGGAAGCTTTTTTTTTTTTTTTTAATAGTAAGACAACATAAACATTCTGAAAATGTTGCCTTGGCCCAACTTATGGATGCAGTAAAAAGATAATGAAATTTGACTATTCCAAAGAATTGATGCCTTCCCCTTTCTTGTATTATAAGAAGACACAAGCTAAACAATTTTTTAGAGCGGTCTTAACTAAATAAGAACACCAAAAATCTTTGGCTGCAAACAACAAAGAAGCTTGCCTGGGAACTCAGAAGAGGGCCAGTGACTTAAGGCCTCAGGGCTATTGACAGTTTCCTACTTA